CAATTCTGTCCAAAAATGGATTACGCGCCAGAAGAGACGAAGCAACATTCACACGTTGGAAACGATAATGATCGGAGAGTTTGTGAAGCACTCAAACACCTTCTTTGTGGCGTTTTCTCACATTCCTTATATGTTTACGTATTGTTTTATGAGAGACATGCAATTTCAGGGCCATTTCACGAGTGTGTGTTGCCTTGGGTTAGACTCAAGAAGCGTCTTCAGGGCATCAATATCAATTCCAACATGTCGGCCTGTGCCATCACAGTTTTTACGGCTAAAGTCACCTGAACGAAATTTGCTGAATCATCGTCGACACTTACGAACGTTCAAAACATTTGCATAAACTTCTTTGATATTCTTTATGGGTACAGAGGCGCTGTTTACCTTCTTGTATTCAAACAGCTTTACATGCTGAATGTGCTTGTTTGTTTGTTTTAATTTCGCGCAAAGCTACACGAGGGCTATCTACGCTAGCCGTCCCTAATTTAGCAGTGTCAGACTAGAGGGAAGGCAGCGAGTCATCATTACCCACCGCCAACTCTTGGGCTACTCTTTTACCAACGAATAGTGGGATTGACCCACATTATAACGCCCTCACGGCTGAAAGGGCGAGTATGTTTGGTGTGACGTAGATTCGAACCCGCGACCCGGAGATTGCGAGTCGAGTGCCCTAACCACCTGGCCATGCTGGGCCTGCCGAATGTGTGTCTCGTAGTGTACCATCGCTATAAGGGATTAGAGTATACTAAACTTCACACATTATATAGGCTATACTAACGTGACGTTTAGGCTGTTCGTTTAACTGTTATACATAATGTACGTTTTGATGAAAGTGTTCCAAAACGCGACATTAATTTCTTGACGACCTAATACTTAAGAGTAAATTCAACGTCTGTTTTGTATTATGAACAGTTACCGTTCCGCTTGAAATGAAAATAAATAGCTTTAGAAGCGATTTATGAGGCGATTGTTTATTTCTATGCAAGCGAAACTTGAATTTGTTAAGGTTATTATAGCTTATGATGATGGATTTATAATTAAAAAATTTGGAGATGTTGGTGTCATATGAAATATAATTTTGGACAAGAGAAAAGAAACATTCAGGATATATAAATCCACATAGAAATATATTGAAACAACTTGGCAGAAATAACCACCTTCATATTGTATAGTTCGCATTGACCTTGACTGTGCGTATCTTACCTTGACCTCGTGCAATATAAATATACTCTAATCTCGACCATATGTATAATTCATTTTTTATTCACTTTACCAATAATATAAAAATAAAACATCTATATATATATATGAAGGATAATCATTGACACTGATCGTGACTTTGACCTTTGAAGTATTCCATTCAAAGTTTAAACATCACTATTGCTATATAAAAAGATAATAAAATATAAAATACTGAAATGCTATCTGAGATGTGTAGGTTATATGCGGACAAACATACAGACACAACCAGTCATAGCAACAACACCAGTCAAGAATAGGAACAGGACTTTTAAATTTGTTTGTGTATGTACGTTATCATTGGAACACAGGCCTAATTTATGTCTTAGGCATTGTTTCGTTCTTTCAGAAATAAAGTTATATTTTTTATAGTCTTGTTTGTAAATTTTTTCTCAGAAAACCACACGATACAAGATGATATCAAATAAAAGCAAAACCAGAGTAGACTTGGCATTGCTCCAACCAGAACTGGATGGATTAAACTGGTTATTTTTCTTCAATAATCGAGATTTTGATAACTTTCGATCTGAACAAAATTAGAGTGATCAGAGCCAAAGCATAAGTTGCAGAGTAACTAAAAAAGACGTTAAACACAGGATAAGAGACTAGGTAAGCCTTTACCGTGCTGTCTCAGTCTAGTTTTTATTGTAAGCTGAAACAAATTATCCTCGTTGGTCGAGTATTATATCTGAATCATCTAGCTATGTAATATTTGATTAATTAACAACAGTCTCAAGACACACGAGCGAGTGATATGCTAAAATTATCCAGTGATTAATTAACAACAGCCTCAATACACAGGTGTGAATGAGCAGGGATATAGTAAAATTATGTAGTGATTAATTAACAACAACCTCAATACACACGAGTGAGTGAGCAGGGATATGACAAAATTATCCAGTGATTAATTAACAACAGCCTCAATACACAGGTGTGAATGAGCAGGGATATAGTAAAATTATGTAGTGATT